AAACCAGGGAAAATATGTTGGTGTCTTTACATGAGCTATTGTTTCTTGTCCAGGGTTCATGTGCCCGTTTGTTCCTTTGCTACCTGTGGCTTGTATCCTCATCAATGTCTACTTGTTAGTTAATCTCAGGTCAGTTTCTAAAGCTGTTTGGTTGATGATCAAACACCCATTAATAGTTGTAACACTTCATAATCAAGCACGCTACTGTATTGGAAGCAGGTTCATGATTTTTTTTTCTTACCAAGAGAAATTTTCTATATACTATGTCTATAAAGAACATGATATCACATTTAGATTGTATTTACACTTGATAAATATATGCTCTGTAGTTCTTCTAATAACAAATAGAGACAATTAGTTACAAATAGTACCCTCAAGCTTCAACTAACAAAAACAACCCAGTTAGCTACTAAAATTGTGAATATATGGGGCCTTTTATTTGTATTTTGCATATTGCATCTTTTGTGGGGGTGTATTTGTGATACTAACACAATAAAACTAACTGACAGTTATTTTTATTATTATATTTTTGCTTATCTATACATACAGTGGTGGCACTTGGGCCCGAGTTACGATATGGTGGGCCCTAGCACTGGTTGTGTACTTTCTGTATGGCCGCAAGCACAGTGTGTTGAGGCATGCTGTTTACGTGCCCTCTTCTCATGTCGATGAAATCTACCAAACGTCCACAAACTCCATCTCCGAATCTGCTGCTTCCATTGACGATGAAAAATTATAATTTATTTCTCTTACAGAAACCTCAACTGCGGCTTGAGTTTCTCTTCATGATGGCTTTATGTCTGCGCCTGGAGACACAAGTGTTATCATCAAACCATTGAGATCTTGAAAACTCCAGTTTTGTCCTACCGCTGTTTTGTTTTTATAGCCCTCTTGCAATGTAGAACATATTCTTGTTGTATAAAGCTCAAAGCTGAGTCATAGGTGGGTGTACAAATAAAATGGTCGAAAAGTTTCTCTGCTTATGTATTGTAGTTTACACTTACAACTTACAAGAACTATGTAAAATTTGCCAGACATTTGTATGAAGTTGTAAATCTTGTCTGAAATTGTGAAGTCCTTACATAGATGCATTTGTATAATTAACTTGCGAACATGTGTCAAAATTATGGCATGATTGGTATGAGTGAAGGACATGAGATTAGAATGATCATTCTCTTACTCATTCTTTATCTCATGATTGGTATATTTTTTTAAAATGAATGACTATTCAAATGGGAATAGCGAAACTCATCTTCAAGGGATTAACCATTCAATAGTTAATGCAAGGTTTTTTCATTCCCGTACTTGTAGGAATTAAATTTTCAAAAAAATAAAATTAGCAAATAATAATAAAAAATAAGTATATAATATATACTATTAATCATGATTAAATTATATTAAATATTTTTTTTCAAAAAAAATCAAATAAAAAATTTTAAAACTTATTTTTTTATTGCTTATATTTAATTAGATATATTAAATACTTATATAAAAAATAAAACTGAATAAACACATTTATAAATAATTTAAAAAGATATTATTTTATTTTCATACATCATATATATTATATATTTACTCATAAATTGAATTATAATATAAAGAATTATATTTGACTACATATGCTTATAGAGATGTATGTAATGATATATTAATATTAGTTAATATGTATATGAATACAAAATTCAATAATTTATTATACAATATCAGTATAACAATAAAAAAAATATTTATTAAACTATAGTATATTTTTTATGAAATAAAATAATTTATTATTATCATAAGTAAAAAAATAACATTAATATAAGTAGTATTTTTTTTCTATATAAAATAGTGATAGTTGATAATGTAGAATGAAAATGTCCTTCCATTCAGGTGTTATTCATTTTGTATACTAAATATATCAATGAAAAAACATGTTTCATTCTTTTCTCATATTCATTCCATTCTTCAACTCATTTCATTCTATTATATCAATCATGTCATAATAGTTTTGCGAATTAATGTGTGCATATAGGATTCACTTTCTATTCTTTTAATTAAATACAAACAATTACGACTTATGTAGTATTCATTTACTTCTTAATCAAAGCAATTTTAAAAATCCGAATTATGCAACACTAGGGATGTTATCGAACCGAGACCGAGCTTAAGGTTTTCGAGCTCGAGTTCAACTAATTTTCGAACATGTTCGTGTTCGTTCGTTTAGTAAATGAACAAAAAATTTCATTCGTGTTCGTTCGTTTATTGGTTCGAAATGTTTGTGTTCGTTCCAGTGGCGGATACAGAAATTTTCATGAGTCGGGACAAAAAATAGTTGAATTTTTTTTTTAACCAGAACAAAATACTTATATTAACAATTAAATAAATCGTTGAAGCAATCGGGTCTTAAGGTGTTCCCTATTCAAATTGGCTTTGACTTAATGGCAAAAATAAAATGGAGAACGAGGCACTTTTTATTTGATACACACAGTGGCGGATACAGATATTTTCATGAGCCAGGACAAAAAATAGTTGATTTTTTTTTTTAACCAGAACAAAATGTTCGTTGGGTCGACAAAGTTGAGAAGAAGGTCAAAGGAAGGAAAGACAGATGCTCTAAGGTACGAAACTGGGCAAACTGAGTATACCTAAAGAAAGGTCTTGGCATCGTAAAGTGGTCCGGGAGATCTTAGGCGGGCCTTAGCGGATAGCCGTCGTTCCACCACTGGGCTAAGCTAAAGCTGCTCTCTTGTTCTCGCTCTTAATGTCCGATCCAATCGAATATCTATGTGAATCTGATCAACAAAGAAATGGAGAAGACCAGACAAGAGTTGGATCGAATACTTAATTAACCATTAAATAAATCATAAATCGTTGAAGCAATCGGGTCTTGAGGTGCTCCCTATTCAAATTGACTTTGACTTAATGTCAAAAATAAAATGAAGAATAAAGTATGGTTATTTGATTTCTTTATTATTGTTAAGAAATATACCAAAAATATTTTATAATCACTTTTCCTTCATTTTTTGTAATAAGTTATAAACAAGTCATTTTGAAATATAATTGATTAATTTAAGAAAACGTAAATGTCATCATTTTTGTTTCTTGTTTCTGTTATTTATAAAAGTTTCTTATAGATTATCTTATTACTAGAGTTTTTCATTGTCAACTACCAACACTTTGCAATTTTATATGTTAATTTGTCAGGATTCAAAATAGTTAATATAAATATAAAATTTTATCTAGAACTTTAAAATTTGAACACTTGACTAACTTAAATTACAAATATATTTTAAAGTTAACAGCATTTATATTTGTTATCATTCTTTATGTATGATAAATTAAATTAGTTATATTTTGACGATCTATTATTTAACATTCATATCGTATATATAAATTAAAATAATCATATCGATTTGATCTCTATTAATAAAAATTTAAATATTTCTCAATTATAATTGAAAAACATTAAATTTATTTGTCAAGCCTACTACATGGTATAAGTAATAAAAATAATGCAAAATAAGACTGTCGAATCTGACAGGTGAGGTGTATCATTTGAAATAAAAAAAAATAATGTTATTTTGTAAGAATTATTTAAAATTTTAAAATAAAAACTTGTATTTATATTTTTACAAATCGTCGAGACTCACTTTGCTCTCCTGTTGTTCTTGTTTTTACTACTTTCCATATTGGTTCGCGTACGTCATATTGTGCATCCGTTTACGTAGAGTCGAAAAGTTTCTTTCAAAAGAGGGATATTCGTACAGAAAAATGGAAAATCTTTATCAAAGAAATATGGACTAGCTAAAAAAAAAAGGTGTAATTCCATCTTGGTTCGGTTCCTCCACCAGCGGAAGCGGATTGGTCAAAAAGACCACTAAGAGTTCGCATTAATGGTGTAAAGGGAAAGCAATACAGCTTGAACTCTGCTTGCCTTTGTTCTCATATATGCGAATTCATCGGAACTATGAAGCTAATTCGAAAGAAAAGAATGCTAAAGACTATTAAATATAAAATTTTAATTAACACATGTTAAGTATATAAATTGTATAGTTGACACTAAAAATCCAGTCTAGGCAATTGCCTAGGCTGACCTATATATAGATCCGCCAATGGTTCGTTCGTTTATCTAGCCGAACTTGTTCGTGAACTGTTCTAATTATTCAACAAGTTCGTGTTCGAATTGTTCGACATGTTCGTGTTCGTGTTTGTTAACTTTTTTTTTTAATGCCGTACAAGTTATTTTATTTAATATTTAATATATATTCATATTTTATATATTATATTATATATGTATATACTATATGTAATATATAAAATTATAAAATATTTTTATTTTATTTAATATTTAATATATATTCATATTATATATTATATTATACATGTATGTACTATATATAATATATAGAATTATAAAATATTTTTTTTGTTCGCGAATGCTCGTTTAGTTCACGAACATGTTCGTGTTCGTTCGATAACTAAATGAGTGTAATTTTATGTTTGTGTTCAGTTCGAATGCTTAACAAATGAGCTGTTATCGAACACGAACAATATCGAACGAGCTTTGTTGGCGAACGTTCGGTTTCGAATAACAGCCCTACGCAACAGACAGCCGGAAACAAACTAGTTTGTAATATCTATTACTATATAATTAGACAAGTCACTTACTAAATATAGAAAGTTTTTGGTGGGACCCTCATCCCATTACTATAAATGGAAAGTCTTATTTTTGTGCCATGTGTATTGGAAAAACTGCCGACTATTTTACTTAATTAGTTTTTCCTTTGGGAAGGATTTTTCATGAAAAATAATATGTTTTCTTAACTTGTACAGTTTGTTTTTTAATTAATAATTTTGGTTAATAAAAATATTATACTCTACTCATAAAATATAAAAAATATGTATATACGTCAAATTTTATGATAGACAATGAACAATATAGCATTCGCACTAATTCTTAAAAGATTAAAAATTAGATTTTTATTAAAGAAATTGGCAACTGCCACATACTAGATAACTTAACATTTTCATTTTCTTTTGCACATTGAGAAACACGAAATATGTCTTTTGCGAATGAACTGATAATTAACATTAATTTATTAAAAAATGCTACAACTGCCATGCAATAGATAATCGATATTTTATTGTCTTGCGCATCGACAAACAAAAAATATATGTCATCTATATCTATATATATATATATATAAAATAAGAATAGACTTAAATCAAATATAATAAGTATTTCCTGCCATTATGCATTAATTACATTCTAATTATAGTAATTTTACACAATTCCTTAAAATAAATCTTGAAGCATTAATTGTAATCAGTTTTAACTTCTCTTAACATCCGGATTTATTGTTTTAAAATGATACTCCATAATATTTTATTAAACACTAAATCTAGATGTTTAGAATCAATTATATTTAAAAGCAGTATTATTATGGAAACAAATATTATGGAGTATTTTTCTATAATCAGTATAATTATAGAATCAAATAATTTAAACACGATTCAATCTTTTTAATTCACTCGATATCTCTTTTTAGACTTATCAATTCATTTTAATGTAATATATATTTACCGTAAAAATAAGAGTAGGACTTTACAATAATCATCGTATCAATATTAATAATATAAATGCTAAATAATATTTAATCATTTGGACTGTACACTTTATCATATACATATAAATAAATCACATATTTGAACTTTAAATTTCTTATTTTTTTCACATGTAGTTATGCAATATATGCAACGTAATTAAAGTAAAAAATATTGTAAATATTTAATTTCAATTATAGTAAATATTTTTTAAAATTGATACAATATTCGATTCACTATTCCACTACTCATGTAAACATCTTTTTGTTTATATTATCACGGTTTTTTGTTTTTTATCATTTTTATTTCTTTTATCCATTTATTTATGAAACATTTTTTTTTCATTTAAAACCCGTGATTTAATTTTCATCCAATTCATTTAGTTAGGTTTGAGCTACAAATGGTAAAATATTGTTGTTGTTGTTGTTTTTCTTTAACGTAATTATTTTTCTATATATTGTTTTACAAAAGATACAATCAAAATTCCAAATTTCTGTTAAAAAGATATACTCAAAATCCACACTTTACGGTAACAATTCTTCTTATATTCTATGTAAAATTAAACTTCACGAGATAAATCATATCTTTAGTATTTATCACAATATTACATATTTTCACTATAGTTCTATTTCGTGATGGTAACATTCCGAAAATCAACAAAAAATTGAAGGAATGAGGTGTCTATGCAATTAGCAATTTTCAAGTGGAGAGCAATCTTGATAAATATTGATGTACGGTTGCCAAGTGCAGAATAATTTTGCATGGAAAAACTAAGAAGTTTTTCATAATGTATGACTTTTTCATGATGAATATTTTACGATTACCTAACAAATGCTCTATGTATTATAACTTATTGATTAATAGCCTTCAATTATAAATTTTACCAAATTAAATACAGCCCGTGCATCGTACGGGTAACATACTAGTGTAGATAAAGAGAGAACCCAACAACTAACAATATCTTTGCGAACTCCGCAGCTGCTCAAATATAAAATCACATCTTCTGAGAGGCAGTCGCCGCCGCAATGGGCAGCGCCACCAGGTTCACGGCCCTCCTCACCGTCCCCATGCCACCTATTCGCCCGTCCCTCATCATCTTCCGCCGCCGTCTCTCTGCACTCTCCTTCGCTCCCCGCTTTCTCCTCACACTCTCCTCTTCATCCTCGTCAACAACCCAAATTACTCATCTCGTCAACTCTTTACACTCTCAATCGAGCAGCACTTCTGCGTATACGGTCCACCCCACCGCCGACCAGAACCATCCATGGCCTGAGTGGACTAATTTTCTAAACATCTTATCGAGTGGGCAGAGGATTGAGGATAAAGGGATTCCGCCTGAGGATGCATTCGTCGTGTATGAGGAGTTGAGCGATGATTTTGTACGTTCTGCCGCCACTTGCATAGCCTTTGCTCATGCCAGACCTAATCTTCTCGGGTTTGTAATTTTAACTCTTTATTCTTTGCCTTTTGTTTCTTAATTTTGAGGCGTGAATTGAATGAGAGGTCATGTTGACATACTTTCATAGTGAAATGTGACCTGCCAGCAGCATTTTTGGTGACTATTTCCTAATAGTGTTTACTCACTGTTAAGTTGGACTTGATATTTTATCAGATTGCTTTCAAGGAAGGATATTGAAGCTGTTGTATCCAATGGCACTCCATTTTTGTTCAAAAGTGCTCTTGACTCAGTCAGAAGGATGAGGGCATTCTTAGGAACTGGTGAAACCAATGTACGCATGTCATTTTCTCTCATTAAACTTTTTATGAATGTATGCATCAAATTACAATTGAGATGCAGTCTTTCTTAGCCTGATGCTGGAAAGGAGATATGACAATATGTTTTGGTCCGAGAGCTTCATAAATAACTATGACTTTGCAAAACGAAGAAAAAGAATTATAGCGCAAACAAGAAACTGTCTTGGTTGTGGAGCTCTGATTTACATTGCAAAGCCACCAAAGATATTGGCAAAAATAGAAACTAAATCAAATTAGGTGAGAAAAAGAAAAAACAAAAAAGCAAGTGACCTGTATGTGAGAGCATCTAACTGAGACCACTCTGTTTCTATATAATAGAGGTCGCGAATGTAATAAATAGTGAACTCCATGTTGCTATCGATAAAAGACATTGCTATTTTGCAAAGCAAAAAGTTTGCCAAAGTTGAGATAGGATGTGATTATTTTTTCAGAAAGTTACCTTACCTAACTTTGATCCTCGTGGTTGTAAAATTATCCAAACTGTGAGCTTGAAAAAATGATTCCAACCCATTTTTTCCCTGACAAATTTCTTTTTTGAACTTAGGTGTCAGAACTTGATAAAGCGACTACAATTGATCTTATGAAATATATACTGAGCTACGCAAGTAATCCAACTGTTTCTTCCGAAAGCAAAGGACTTTATAGCAAGGAACTCGTTTACTCATCTGTTCGAAAGCTGTTACATGAACTGGGTACTGTGTGCAGTGGAGTTCCAACTGGATATATACCTGTCTCAAGACAAACTCAAAAGCCTTATGGACAAAATATTGAAATGAAGAGAGGCGACTGGATTTGCCCAAAGTATGTGTATCCTCTATTTTCTCATTTTATTTTGCTTCCCTGCCAGGACCAGCTATATCTAATTATGCATGTTTTCTAAGGGAAAAGAACGTTTTGTTTTTGGTTTTCAAGTTCTGTTTTTTTTAATGGAAAAAGTATGTTTGGTTTTTGTTTTTCATTTTTTTTTTTTTTGTTTTTAAATTTCCAACACGATAGAGAATAACATCAAACACAAAGTGAAGAGTTTCAATACAGACATAGGCCAACTGGCCACTAGAACTGGTTGGACTACCATAGTAGTCAAACAAGATCCAAAGGGAACCAAAAGCAATGGCCTAGAAAAGAAAAAAAAAAAACACTAATGGATGTAGATAGAGAATGTGATGAATCGGATATAAACCGAAGGAGGCAGACGTGTTTTTAGATCCTTTCATCACTTTCCACTAGACAAAACAAAGCCGATCCTTACACAATAACCACTAGTACTGGCACAAGTACCCTACTGCAAGAATACTAATATTCATTGGCAGACGTCAAGTACTCCTGCCACTCCACCAAAGCTGCCTCAAATGTTGTTATTTCAGGCCTTCAACTATCCTCAATAGCCTTAGGTTATCTGTTATCCATAGCGACCAAGTAGATAGGTTGTGAACTGAATTCGGGAATCTGACGTATTTTAGCCCACCAATGAACAAAAGAGATATCTTCATCCATCAGACCATCCCTTTTGACTGGTGATAGCTCCCAAATTCTGCTCACTCTTGGGCAGTGAGAGAAGATGTGCTCTGTTGTCTCACCACAACTGTTAGATCTCAGGTCCACCGTGACTCCTCTCATCTTCAAGTTAGTCTTCGTGGGCAGGGTTTTTGAGTAGCATTTTCACAGAAAGTGTCGAATCTTGCAAGTACCCTGGCTTTCATCAGGACCAAGTGATCATCAATTGATCTGATTCTTCCTTGATCTAACTGCGAAGCCAAACCCATAAGACTTACCTAATTGCAGAGACGTAATGTTGAGGATTTTATCACAACCCTTCTCAGAAAGACAGATTTCACCATGTTAGTATTCCAAATGTAAGTATTAGGCAAAAAATAGATCAGTCATAACTTTTAAGTGACACGGTGCAGAAGAGTGGACTGAGGTGTTAAATAGATAGCTCCTTGTTCCAAGGATAATCCAAAGTTTTAATGTTTTCCCAGCCCTCACCTCATATATGATCCCTTGCCCAACGACTCTAGCACTAGCCCAACTTCTCCAGAGCCAAGATGCAGTAGGTTTTACATCTTCCTAATCCTCAAGTAAGCTACCGTTACAAAAATATTTGGTAGACCTTAAGAAACAAAGAGATTGGGGTTAGTAAGAGTTCTTCAGAGCTGTTAAGTAAGAAGGGCCTTGTTAAAGAGCTTCAGATTATAAAAGTCAACCCACCCTGCATCTTTAATTTCAATGATTTTTGTCCCAAGCTTTCCAGAAAATATCCCTCCCATTTTTCTGTTGCGAGCTTCACCAGAATTTAGCTATAAGTTGAATAATCATTTTCAGAACACCATCAAGTATTCTAAAGCAAGCTGCAACAAAAACAGGTAAAACATTAAAAACAGTCTTAATAAGAATTTCTTTCCCATCCTGAGGGAAATATATTCTTCTACTACATAAAAGGTTTTGGACAGCTTCAATTACTAAGGAAAAGACCGCTGTTTTAGAACTTTCGATGGCGAAAGGTAAGCCAATGTATGTACAATATTTTTGAGGCTTAACTCCCTTGCGCACATTAGAAATATCCGTCTGAGCATTTTAAGATATTATGTAGAATTGATCAAAGTTAACCACTTGACCAGTTATCCCTCTATTGGTCCCTAACATATTCATACAACAAGGGCTTGACCCACAGTTGGCCTCACTAAACAAAATAGAGTAATCTGCAAGAACTAAAGGAGTGGTCTGAGGAGCATTTCTACAAATTTAAGGCCCAACAAATTATTCTTAGCGACTCCTTTCTTGATAAGGCAGGAGAAGAGCTTGGACAGTAACAACAACATGTAGGGGGAATATGGTCCCCATTTTTCAGTCCTCTAAAAGAAATGAGATTCCCACTGACCATCCCAGAATGATAAAAAGAAAAGGAAGAGGAAGGTACACAGGAAATCGCTCAATTAACAAAAACACTAGCAAAATCCATCATAAGGATAATCAACTTGATAGTTGATACTTTCTCACACTGCACTCGTTCTTATGCTCTCGCCATGTCCAGTTTAATGGCCATATACCCTTTTCTCCTTGTTCTTTGCCAATTGAGAAATTGAATGGATTCTTGAGTACTAATGGTATTATCAGACAAACTGTCTATTGGGGACAAAGGCAGCTTGGTTTTCAAGCTCTCAAGAAACAATTTTTTTTCTTTCTTGTGGGGGAAAAATGTGCTACAGTATGTTTCTTATCTCCTCAAATAACCTATGTTTATGCAGGTGCAATTTCATGAACTTTGCAAAGAACATGAAATGCCTTGAATGTGAAGGACCCCGACCAAAGAGGCAGCTAACTGGCGGGGAGTGGGATTGCCCTCAGTGAGCAACTTTTATTTTTCTTTATTTTTATTGTTCTTTTTTTATGTGTGTGTATTTGCTCCATAGTTATCATTTCATAACAATAGAAAAGAGATTGTTGAAAAATTGATCATCAATTTAATTATTTGCAGATGCAATTTCTTTAACTACGGACGAAATTTCGCCTGCTTGCGTTGCGACTGCAAGCGACCCGGGGCCCCACTGTCTACCGACAGCACCTCCCAACTCAATTCGGTGCATAACAATTATTTCCCTAACAAAACCAACACAGATAACGAAAGGAGCAAGAATTCTCAGCAATGGTTCAATAAAATCTCCAAACTGAACAGTGCTAACAGTTCCAACAATGCGGCTTTAAACGAAAGAGCAAGCCCGATGGATAACATTCGTCATTCCCAATATTCAGAAGCCAAAAATGGAAATTTCCAGAATCAAGGAATGGAAGGCCAAGCCCAAAAATCTGAAAGATGGTTTGAGAAAATGTCCGAGCTACACAACGTGAAGGACCTGCCTAGCGCGGTTTCAGACGAAGACTTCCCGGAAACTATGCCGATGCTTAAAGGTGAAAGCAGATTCGTGGTAGGGAAAAAGAAAGACCATTCTCTCACATCATCAAAGAACAAACAACCCGCCATTGATCAGACAAACAGCACCAATTTCGTGCCGTTTGTTCCGTTCCCTCCCGGCTACTTTGCAAGGAAGAATAATGATGCAGATCCAGAGGTTAAAAAAGATGATCCAAAACTGATAAATCTGGAAAATTCGAATTTTTCGAGTGGAGGAGCTCATGACCAACCATCGAGCCCGATTTTGAAAAGTACCGAGAAAAATAATGTGGGTCCCGGAAATGGAGGATATTGGGCGGGAAAGAGTTTGGAAGGGTCGGGCGTGAAGGAGAGTGATCCACTCGACATGTCTGAGGAGGCAATAAATGAGAGGTGGTTCAGACGTGCGGCTCAGATTAAAGATATATCGGAGCTTAGTCAGATACCGGACGAGGATTTCCCCCCAATAATGCCGATGTTGAAAGGCGTGAACAGGTTTGTCGTGAGCAAGCGAAAAACCCCACTCGAGAGGCGGCTCACTTCACAAAAGTACAAAAGGAATCTGCCTATGGTGAGTAGTGAGTCCGTGAAGAAGGAAAGTGATGGCAGCTAAAATGTGAGTCTAAATGACTTAGTGTTTGTCTTCAACTCAGAGTGTAATGGAGGACAACTATGGAAAAAGAAAAGAAAATAAAAGAAAAGAAAAAGGTATTCAATCTGTATGGACTGTATGATGTAGCTGCAGTTTGTGTGTGATTTGTTTACGTTAAGCTATTACGAATCTATAAATTTATAGAACTTATATTAACTATTAGTTAAGTGTAATCTGAAAATGTAAAAGGTGAAGATTGTTTGATGTCTAGCCCGGTCGGCCCTAGCAGAATACCTGAACGTGATGGAAGTAGCACAAGATGAGATGTTATTTCTTGAAAATAAATAAATAAAACTAGTGTGCCATGGGAAGGTGATATTCATGGTGTTGCGTTTTGTCTGTTTCTTTTCCCTGTGTGTAAATTGAAAATAATTTGCAGGTTTGAGCCACATTTACATCTAGTTTCAAAGTAGGTATTTGAAACTAAGTCTGTTGCCTAGATGATGCGTAGCCAACTTTTAAAATATTTTTCTATAACATTTCTCATTTTGAATTGAATATTTTATATAGTTTTTTCGATAGACTCAGTAGAAAAGTTCTATATAATCTTTGTGGTAGTGTAAAATGACCTCGACTAGGTCTGATGGCCTTTGATTTGTCCTCGAACCAATGAAATGACCTGCAAAATAGCACTGGGAGTTGTTTCGCGAAGAAACTCTGACGCTGAACTGTATGTATATGAGCCTAGAGTATTAAGAGTGTGTATAGAGGAGATAATACTTCACTTTTTTATATAGATGTGTTTCCTTATTGCTTAGGATCTGCCCAATCTTGCTGCGAAAGTGCCCAAACTACCCGATCACATTGCTCGGGTGTCCGAAATGTCAATTCTGTTATACACCTGTCTTTACCGACGTGTCATTCTTATCTTTATTATATTCGTACATACCCATTATCCGGTCTGTTCTCATTAACCTATTTCATTAGGTAATCGCTTTAAGTATAATCGTGCTATCAGTTTAATTCCTCTTAAACTGGGTCTCTGGTCTTCAATGAGTAAGTCCGCTTTTTAGGTCCTTCATCAACCTCTTTACTTTCGGGCCGAGTTTCCACAAGACTATCCGAGAGTCTTAGCTCGACCTATCGCTGAATCGGTCTACCTCGGATGTCATTACTGACCTAGTAGTTTTCCCGTCATTGAGTCTTCCTGCTATCCACAAAACTAATGAATGATAAACATAATAATTATTACTTTAAATTATTTTATATTAAATATATTTATATTTTATTATATGAATGACATGATACTAATTCTTTATTTCTAAACCAGAATTAATACATATGCCGTATTATATATAAACTAATTAATACTTCAAAATATTTTTTCTTTTTACCTAGAATATGAGTGTCTAATTGAAGATGGTCAAACAAAAGTTAATTTAATATTATATATAAAAAATGGATGATTAATAAAAACATTATTAAGATTTTTAATAGAAATAATATTAGCACATAATAAAAAAAACAAACAACGATATGGAAACTAAATAGGGAAAAAATTTGTATATATAAAATTTCTTTATCCATGCGTTTTAAGAAATATTTTAAATTTCATATATATATATATATATTAATTTACAAATTATTATTTTTATAGTGATTAATCTATATTCTATAACCATATCCATTAATATTCCAAATCAAATAAAATTTAGATCAGCTGAAAATGAATAATTAATTGTAAATTTTTTAAAAGTTTAATCTCTAATGATTGTATCACATCACTAAAAATATAAATAAAAATAGATTAGATAGAAATAAAATAATTGATTGATTTTTTTTTGAAAAAATTTGGTCAAAAGATTTAGATCAATTATTGATATTACATTATTTAAAATAAATATTATGAGAAATGCTACATTACCATCCTAGTGTATAATTAGGTTGACAACACAAGTAAAAACATCCACTTGTGTATTTTTTTATTTTTATTTTTTTGAATGTTTTCATTTGTGTTATCAACTTGGTTGTATACTAGATTGACAATGTAGCATTACTCAAATATTATAGTCATGAATGGTAAAAAATTAAAAGGAAATAATAATAAAAAAAGAATGTTTAAATAATTTACTTATTTAATAAGCAATAAAAGTAAATTTTAGGCCAAACCTTTTTATTTACGGTAAATTCCACTTAAATCCCTCTTCCTCTTTTCAACTTCCAAATCAGTCCCCTTCTTAAATTTTTTTCCTCTGCACTTCCTCCCTTTAATTTTCTCTTTCCATTTCACTCCCAACTATAAAGTAAGGTTATTATTATTCATTTATTTTACTTGAATCATAAAAAAATGGAATTGTTTATTTGATTTATGCTCTCTCTCTCTTCGTTCATCGCTCGTCTCTCTCTCAAAATTCCATATCGTCTCTCTCTCTGAAGCCGGCCAATTTTCTGGGAAGCTTGCCCTCCATCCGATAATACCGTCCTCCTCGTCCAAAGCAGTAAGCATGGTAAGATTTTGAGGATTTTTTTCAACAACTTTGAATTTTTTCTTCAATTCAAAATTTTGGGGATTTTTTTTCAAAATTTTGAATTTTTTCTTGAATTCCAAGTTTCCAGCTAGGGTTTTTGGGTGGTTCTCGTGCAGCCACGGGGCGGCTGTGTAGAAGCCCTGTCGGGTGGATTTGTCGGTGCCTTTCACCCCTCGGAGATTGCAGATTAGCTTCAACGCCGTTAACGGGTCGTGCTCCCAGGCGGTGGACGAGGGATTCCGGAGGCGTGTTCGGGACAACGTTGAAGAAGAAATCGAGACAGGTTTCGCCGGAGGAGAGAAACGTCAGCGAGTGATTCTCCGTCAGGCCTATTGGCCCGAAATTGTTGAAATTAGCCACCATCTGGATCTGGTCCATGAATGGATTTTTCTTTGATGCGGAGGGGGAGGCGGCGGCCGGTAGGTGTAGATATCCGGTGGTCCGAAGAGGGAAACTGGGGTGGAGGAGGGGGCCATGGTGAGGAAAGTGAGGTAATTTGTGTGGAAAAGGGACGAGGGGCTGCGGATCGATGTGATGCGCTTGTAGAGAACATGACAAGACACTCAAAATCTGGAGATTGTCCGATTTCTGGTGCATTGAGTCCATTGAGGCCCACGATGATGCCATAAACGGGCTCGTGGCCCGAAGTGGGTCTGTTTACTCGTCGTCTGCGGATAGGAGGATTAAGGTTTGGGGTAAGGTAAGGAAAAATGAAGGGCATTTGGTTAAGGCGATTTTGGAGGGCCGAAAGGACGTGTCTTTGAATTCGGTGGCGGTTAGTGAGGACAAGAGGTTCGTGTATGGAGGATGTTCGGACAGGTTTATAATGAGGTGGTCAGGTAATAATGAAGGTTTGAACTGTTGGAAAGTGGTTTGTAAAGTAAAGGGGCATAAAATAGCGGTTTTGTGTGTGTGTGTGATGAGGGAAGGTGGCTGATTCTTGTGCAGTGGGTCGGCTGATTCGAGTATGTGTGTTTAGAGGACGAAAAAAGTGGGAGGGGGTTTGGCCCGACATTTGGTGATCAGGGGGCACGAGGGCCCGGTGAAGTGCATGCGGGCTGGGCCATCAAGGGTTGGGGGTGGTTTCTTGTTGTATTGTGGGATTGTGGATAGAAGTGTGAGGGTTTGGTGGGTACCGGGTGATTCGGAGAAGGATTTGGATTTGGATTTGGATTTGGTTCGGGTGAAGTGAGATATGTTATTTTTTTCTGTTAAATTTTTGTTTTGATATGATTGAGATTCTTTGTTTATTTTGTGTGTTTTTTTCAAGATTGTGTGTTCTTTGTGTGGGTGGATTTGGTCATATACTGTGTTGGATCTTAGGTATAGTGTTTGTGTTGAAAGTTTCAGGTGGTTCGTGGGACATATTTTCTGTGTTTTTATGTTGTTTACGTTTTGCATTTTTATCATCTACTTTCATTTTTGTAACGTCGAAGGCATACTTGCACCAGTTGGTGGGTCCAAGTTGTACTTGTTGATTTTAGTATCAAAGTTTGTATCACTCTTATCATCATTGGATCAACACAGGTATTTAATATACTGTGCATGTTATATTCATCTACACATTATAAACACTATGTTAGTAAATAATCAACATAAACGTTAAATAATGTAACTGGATTATAACCCAATATGGCTTATGATTAATATGACGTCCTAATGTACCACACATAATACATGTTAATTGGTATACCGTATATCTTAACAAATAGTACTACCTTTTATTCTATTCAGTACCAGTTATTGATCAATTAGTACCTACTTTGTACAAAGAACAAAAAATAGATTACTTCAAATTTTACCTATATGTTTTAAGTTCCACTATTTTTCAACCAAATCATGCGTGAACAATCCGTTTAGTATATTAATTAATAATTCTACCTATATTCATTAATATTTTCAACCAACTCTGACGAACATAAAAAAAGAAACGAATCTCGTAAAATGGTACCCGTTTTTCAACAAATAATAACACTCCTTCTATATAGTACCGTTATTGATGAATTAATACCTACTTTGTAGAAAGAACCAAAAATAGATTACTTCCAATTTTGTCAACATTAGCAATATTAGTACCAGATCTAGAGTAAGATAATACTACAATTATGGTGTTTTAGTACCAAATATCGCGTTTTCAGAACCAACTCCGATGAACGTAAAAAAAAACTGATTTTTGTAAAATAGTACCTGTTTTGACGTAAATAATACCATGTTTTCTTCTTCGCAATACCAGTTATTGATGAATTAATACCAACTTTTGGTCAGTGAAAATGGATTATTCAATTCTGATCAATATTTGCAATAATTAGTACCAGACTTGGAGTAAGATAGTACCAATTTTCTGTGTTTTGGTACCAGATATCGGGCCTTTAGTACCAACTCCGAAGAACACAATAAAACACCAAATTTCGGTCTCAAATGATGTTTATATGACCTATAATCACTCTCACATTATTTTCTATGAGATTTATAACGTGTTTAATTAAGTTTAATTGCAAATTGGTCACAAACTCAACACACTAATGAGAAATCACTAAAAATACACTTCATTTCATTGAATGACACACTTCATCTCATAGAATCATCATACATGGCTACTCCAAATTCTACCTATATGTTTTAACTTTCACTATTTTTCATCCAAATCACGCGTGAACGATCCATGTGTCATGGTAGACATGAAGGATTAGAGAAATTACGATTCTTAAAATAGTACCTGTTTTAGCCAATATAGTACCGCATCTTCTTCTACGTGGTAACTGTTTTTTATCGATTAGTACCAGCTTTTGGTCAAAGAAAATGGATTATGAAATTGTGGTAAACATTTGCAATAATTGGTATCAGACCTAGGTAAGATAGTACCATTTTTCGGTGTTTTAGTACCAGATACTGGGACGTTAGTACTACTTGTAATGAACACATAAAAACACCGAATTTCGCTCTCAAATGATATTTATATGACCAATAATCACTCTCACATTATTTTCTATGAGATTTATAATGTATTTAATTAAGTTTAATCGCAAATTGGTCACAAACTCAACACACTAATGAGAAATCACTACAAATACACTTCATTTCATTGAATGACACACTTTATCTCATAGAATCATCATACATGACTATTCCAAATTGTACCTATATATTTTGACTTCCACTATTTTCATCCAAATCAGACGTGAACGATCCACGTGTCATGGTAGACATGAAGGATTAGAGAAATCAAGATTCTTAAATTCAGTGGTATGATACATCATCGTGAAAATTCCCAAAGTGTAAAAAATAAACAATATAATGGTAATTATAAATAGTAGATGAAACATTTTTTTTTTTTCGTTTGAGGGAAATATATTTTAGTATTTGAAATGAGTGTTAATATATGAAGTGTAGTGTGATATATATATATAAGTTGATAAGTAGCCGTTGCAATATAGCCGTTATGTAGCCGTTGGGAACAAATTAATGATATAATATTTGTTAGTTAATCATTCATGATTATAAAATACTAATTAATCATGTATATTATCTTAAAAATTCATCGAGCCACTATGTGAACAATTTAATGAATATAAGTGTCAAAAAATAAAAATGTCACTCCACACTACTCGATAAATCTTTCGGTGGGTACAAATATAAGTAGTTATAAATTTCACACCACATTACTGGGTGAACCATTTTGTGGGCGTTAAGTATAAGTAATAATATTATTTATTATAACTTGAAGTTATATATCATAATTAGTAGTAATCATAAGCAAATTTAATAATATCATCTTACCACATATTATTGACTATGGCAGAGCCGTACTTGCCAATAATAATGGTAATATGTAAATTAGGATAATGTTATATTTAGTATATTCATACCACATATTCTTGACTATGGCAGAGCCGTACTTGTAAAAAATAATGGTAATATGTAGATTAGTAAAATATACTGATTTTATGTAATGTATATACATATTAGTATATTCCTACCTTTCGGACCGGGTAGAGCGTTCGTGCTGATAACGTGTTTTAAAAACGGAAAGATAAAGAACACAATATAGAAACTGGATATCACTTATACTCAATTTTCTTCTTCCTTCTGTACATTTTTCCATTGCATTTCGTGTGCCTTTTATAGGCAAACTTTCCCGACATAACATACAATAATTTACACCACATTCATATCTATTACTATTCCCATTTATTCAAATAGTGAAATGTCACTATTCATGCATAGTGGTTCATTCCACTTGTTTATAACAATAACAATATATTTATCGGGAACATATACAAAAAATATACTAATTGTATACATGTCAACTCTTCTGACCTCTGTTTTTTTTTTCTTCCCAAATTTGCCTCTCTTAGCATATACATACAAACCTTAGTTGTATCTATATATTCTCACCCCTTCACCCCCAATAGCTTCTTCTTCTATTGTGTGCCTTCAATCCATTAGTTATTTTCGAAAATTCGATTCGACCTCGATATATACACTACACTCTCTCTCACACACTCACACCCATATAGAGAGAGAGAGAGCTTTCATCTTCTTCGTGTGGTCTAAAATGGACAACTACCTGGCTGTACATACACATATAGATATATAAATATGTATAGACGGCAGTTCTCTTTTTAATCTCGCGAAAGCACGCACCGGAAAGAGGCTGAGATGTTGGATCTAAATGTTGACGATGTTTTTCTGGTCGTCGTTCACAAAAAACAAAAGGCCATGTAGAGCGGCAAATAGAATCGGCGGAGAAAGAATGGAAAAAAAAAACCAAGATTCGGACAGAAAGAAAGAAGCCTCAATTACACCTTCACTCGCTTCGCTTCGGAAATGAACAGAAAAATTTAAGAATTTATGAAAAAGAAAACACAAAAAAGAAGGGAAAGAAAAATTTAAGAGATGAAGGGCCTGGGTGATGGTGTATTTCTCTTTTTTGTGTAAGAGATGAAGGGCTTGCGTAAGAGATCATGAACAATCCTGGTATTTTTCTATAGTGGTGGTGGTGTGTTAATGCGCAAAATAGTAGGCGATTTGGAGGAGATAATTAATTAGATAATCTATTTCTTAATTAATAGATAGTTTGACTAAAATCTGAAATCCGGTATATGTGTAATTATTTTGTGGTGATTTAGCAGTTTTACAAATAAAATTGAATCAAGTGTAAAATTGTTATATAAATAAAATATTATGGTATGTGGCGCAANATTTTTATTAATGAAAGCCCAATTCACTTAACAAACAATTGGCCCAACAAAAAATAAAAAAATTAAACAACAAACATTAACATATCCATTTAATATTTACGGGCACAAGTATAGAATACAGAATCCCAAATACCCATTCTCTTCTCCATTTCCACTATATGATATTTAACTATATAAAAAAGCCCAATTTTATTTGTTTCTATTTCAACAGAGCTTCAAATAAAATAATCTCCCATAATCAATCCACACTATAAACTGTAATCTCTGTTGCATGTTCTTAAAATCTAGAGCTATGCGATATTTAACTATAAAACATAATTTCACCGACAATTATTATGAAGAAAAAAAGTCGATAAGGACTTTACCCGTTTGAAGTTTGAATATATTTTTTCCCGTTTTGTTCCGCGGTCCCAATTGATACCGGGATAGGTCAAATCTCGGATCGTCTCGACTGTGCCCAGCCCCTACAATACACAATACACTAATACAGAATAAAGAACGACTCTGTTTTCAACTTCAACAATTTTGGCATCAACAGAAACAATATTATATTTTCCCTTTCATCGCTTTCTCTGACTCTGAATCACTTTCTTCATCGTCCCACACTAAATATTTATTTTTGTTTTCTTGGTCGCCTTTTCTTGAATTTCTTTGGGTTTCAAAATAATATGATGTCATATCTATCTGGATTCTATTTCTAATTTTATTCTGAAAAGGAAAGAAAACACCTCCCCCAAATATTTTTAACCCTTTTGCATCCTAGCTGGGTTTGCTGGTATCAGATATTAATGTAATTAATTATAGGATGTCATCCGAACACATGCAAGCTGATCTACAGAGATGGAGAGAGAGATTAAAATAACACAAAGCTGGTACGATTTTTCGGAGTAGTTCTTTCAATAGCTTGGACATATTATGTCAAATTCTTGAATTCATTTCCAATAAAGCAAACGGGTTGTTTTCTATTGTATTTGTGTTAGCC